TTTACTGTCAGTTCTACTAGTACATCAGCTCTGTTTCCTGTGTGTCCAGCAGTTTGACTTCTGTGTCCATCAGCAACTTGTGTTCTGTCGTCGTCTCGGCCAACAACGTTCAGTGTCTCTAGCAGCCGTGTCCCGGGTCGTCGGTAGCGCGTCTCCAGCAACAGTATGCCACCTTCAGCGGTGGCAGCATATTTAAGGGCCAGTAGTCATTGTTCCCTATTGGCTCTCTATGGGCAGCCGTCATGCCTCCGGCCATCGTGTCCTTAGCTTCACCTCCTGATAGCCGCAACCCGGCCGCCGGGCCGTCTCGCTTGTGCGCGCGTCCTTTGTCCCGGCCTAATGTCTACCCTTTGGAAGTCGCTTGTAACTGCACGAACCGGTCGCCAGTAAGGTCCCTTCCTTTTGGTACTCTCAGGATTGCCCAAGTGATAACTCGCGTCCGGGCCGTCCCAACACGAAAGCTTTTGATTTATATATCATCAGGCTAATACAATAATATAAAAGGGGGATAGAGCTAACAAAATGTTAAGCAACCAATCCCTTTGATTCCTCAACATTTCCTCTGCTCCGTTCCCCTCCTTACTGCTGATTGGTTGCTTGCACTTTCGCTAACTCTACCATCCCTTTATATCAGTGTATTTGCCTGATGATGAATACACCGAAGACGCTCGTTCGCCTACCTTGACTTCCTGAATATTTTGGTCGATCGACGCTGAGAGTACCCTTGACAGAAGATGCAGGTAGGCCCGCCTGAAAAAGAGAACAAACCATTGTGTTATGGTGAGCCAATAGCATGGAGCTGGTCAATTTTGCAGTAAGGAATGCTCTCAAACATTTGTGCACAGCCATAACTCCTCCCCCGTTACCTGGCACCCGTATTCTACGCATTTTTTAAACCCCACCTTGCCAATCCCGATTTCTTCATACCGTCACTAGGCGAGTTAAATGATAGTGTAGCTTGACAAAGCAACCCACTTTTGGGCGTATCCCTCTATAATTAAAAAGTCACGCTACGTCCAACCCTGCTGGACTTTGTTCGAAATAGTT